ACGTAACGTAACGTAACGTAACGTAACGTAACGTAACGTAATGTAATGTAATGTAATGTAATGTAATGTAATGTAATGTAATGTAATGTAATGTAATGTAATGTAATGTAATGTAATGTAATGTAATGTAATGTAATGTATGTATGTATGTATGTGTGTAATGTATGTAATGTATGTATGTATGTATGTATGTATGTATGTATGTATGTATGTATGTATGTATGTATGTATGTATGTATGTATGTATGTAATGTAATGTATGTATGTATGTATGTATGTATGTATGTATGTATGTATGTATGTATGTAATGTATGTATGTATGTATGTATGTATGTATGTATGTATGTATGCATGTATGTATGTATGTATGTAATGTATGTATGTATGTATGCATGTATGTATGTATGTATGTATGTATGTATGTATGAATGTATGTATGTATGTAATGTATGTATGTATGTATGTGTGTAATGTAATGTAATGTAATGTAATGTAAATGTAATGTAATGTAATGTAATGTAATGTAATGTAATGTATGTATGTATGTATGTAATGTATGTAATGTATGTAATGTATGTAATGTATGTAATGTAATGTAATGTAATGTATGTAATGTAATGTAATGTATGTATGTATGTATGTATGTATGTATGTATGTATGTATGTATGTATGTATGTATGTATGTATGTATGTATGTATGTATGTATGTATGTATGTATGTATGTATGTATGTATGTATGTATGTATGTATGTATGTATGTATGTATGTATGTATGTATGTATGTATGTACTGTATGTATGTATGTATGTATGTATGTATGTATGTATGTATGTATGTATGTATGTATGTATGTATGTATGTATGTATGTATGTAATGTATGTATGTAATGTATGTATGTAATGTAATGTAATGTAATGCAATGTAAAGTAAAGTAATGTAATGTAATGTAATGTAATGTAATGTAATGTAATGTAATGTAATGTATGTATGTATGTATGGTGTACTGTAGTGCAGTGTAGTGTAGTGTAGTGTAGTGTAGAGTAATGTAATTTACTGTAATGTAAGGTATTGCTTTGGTATGAAATGTAATGTAATGTAATGTAATGTAATGTATGTATGTATGTATGTATGGGGTAGTGTAGTGCAGTGTAGTGTAGTGTAGTGTAGTGTAGAGTAATGTAATTTACTGTAATGTAAGGTATTGTATTGGTATGAAATGTAATGTAATGTAATGTATGTAATGTATGCAATGCAATGCAATGCAATGCAATGCAATGCACTGCACTGCACTGCACTGCAATGCAATGCAACGCAATGTAATGTAATGTATGTTGTGTAATGCAATGTAACGGCATGAGCAAATTATATTGGCTGACTTCCAAGAACTCTTCTGGCATCAGATAACCGCCGTGCTTCAAATGCTGAAGGGTGCATTGACCAAGAAAACCTGAATCAGGAAACAAGATTGTCAGTCATGCCCCAGAATTCAACCATGGCTTGTCAAATGGATTGTGGGCTTGCCTGCCTTTCCAAATTTTGACTGCCAGCAGTTCATGTGGACATTTCTGAGAGAGCACTCCCATCCCAGTCCATCAGTGACTAGCCGGATGAGCGGCTGGACTCCACCAACCATCACTGCCTCTAGGTGTCAGATCCTTTCTGGATCATCAGAAGCATTTGCTAGAACCAGCATCTTGGACCTCCGCCTTGCATGCCTGTAATAAAGGCCTCTGCAAGTTGCGGTGATGAGGATGCCCCCGACCTCCTTGTGAAAGAAATGCACCTCGCCATTGGCCACGGGTTGCTGGTAGCTGGAAATGAAGGTGTTCTCCCCCCTCGATATGCTGGCAGACTGGTCATATTGCAAGTAGATCAGGAAACGTGAGTGGAGAGCAGACCAGACCACACGCACTGTGATGATATAAGGTTACAACATGTGAATACCTGTGTGTGTGTGTGTCTTGGGTGTGTGTGTGTGTGTATATGTATGAGTCTACGCGCGTGTCAATGCAAACACGTGTGTGTGCGTGTGTGTGTGTGTGTGTGTGTGTGCACGCTGGTGCATGTGCATCTGCATCTGTATTTGCAGGCGGCGTGTATGGAAAGATGAACGCAAGTGTGTCTGTGTATATTTGAAACTGATTAGGTGTGTGCGCGTGTCAGTGTGTGTGTGTGAACACGTGCGTGTACTGGTTGCCTGTTTGCAGTTGGGCACCTTCACAGTTGCTTTTTGTTCCCCGCTGTCAAGGAGTGCTTCCACGAATTGGAGCCCTTCTGGTTTCTGGCATTCATGCTATGGGCAACAAACCTGGCTACTCGGGACAATCAAGATGGTCATGCCCTCAATCAGGCTTGGAGGTATACAAGGGTTGCCAGGGAAACCATGGTCATTCATCAACCATGGCACATGTGGCCTTCTTCTAGAAATGACTGGGGATTGGTGCTTGTTCCCCTCAGCCCGCCTCAAACATGATCCTCTCTCCACATGCCAGCCTTCCGTCTGAACCGCAGGTCCGTGTTGCGCTGGGCGGAGCAGTCCCCGACCTCGGTGACCCTGCGCGACCTTTGTGAAATTGGGCTCGACCGCCGCTTGACTGGAAGAACCGAGGCCTTCTCACCGCCCCTTCTATTCCGTGGTGACTAAACCGTTCGATGGCGGTTTCGGGGCGGTTTGATCCGCGCGTTTTGCATCAGAGGGGCTTAACGGTGCCTGGCTTGTGCAGTCGCCGGTCAGGCACCGTTAACCATTGCAGAAGGCAGAACATTGATGATGTCGGAAGCACTCAGCATGCTTGTGTTAACCCGAACCTTAATCCCAGGCTTTTTTGGGTGCCGCGCTGCAGTCACAGTGCCCGCTCCTGCGCCTACGACTGCGCTCCGACCATGCTCGGTCCGTGCGCTCCATGAGCTTGGCCAGACGGTGGAATGCAATGCGTTGCAAGGCTTTTGCCAAAACTGTTTGCGTCCTCGGGTGCTATGGTAAGATTCGCTTCGCTATTTCTATTGCCCCGTATTTCTGGCCTGGATTCGCGTGGACAGCCCTGCCCAGGAATGGGAGGGCTGTTTCGTACCGAGGCGTAGCGCTGCTCAGGTTCCGGACAAGATCCGTATGTGTGGTATTCCTTCGTGACGGGCTGACGAGTCCCTGGATCTTCAACTTTGCCTGGCCCCAAGCTTGATGATGCTTCACGCTCGTTCTCGCGGTGCAAATTGTCTGATCTCCTTTGACGCGGTTGCGCTTGTCTGAAAGGGGGGACTGTGGTGAGATTTTTTTGGTAGCTTTTCCTTCTGCACCTTGCCAATTCTAGCCCGACTCGCTTTTATGAGCACGAATGAAGGGTCGCGAGGAGTCTGATTTGCTGATTTGATGGAAACAGGTCGTGGCAAATAGCCACCGTACTGATGGGCAAAATCCCGCGCTGGGATGGATGAAGTCCTATGAGCCGGGGATCAAACACAGAAGCGCACGAGGGACATGCTTCTCCGATCAATTGCGGCGTTTGAGGCCCAGGCAAGACCTGGTTGAAGTTTTACCACGGATTTGTAGGTTGTCTGCTCAGTTTTTGAGTCTGGAAACAGCGAACCCGCAGCCACAATCAAACGCGCTGAGGTTCGGCCAAACACGTACTTATTTCCGGTGCTTTGGCGGATAATAGTGCTCCGCAAGGGTTCAATCCCCAAGCCAACAACCCAAGCCCAAACCGCCAATCCGAACCACCAACTGACGCCGGGGCTCCAACCGGTGAAGCCCTGCCTCCTTTTTCGTTTTCACCCTTCTCTTCGGCTCGAGCCGCATGCGCCGAGAAGCCGAGAAGCCGAGAAGCCGAGAAGCCGAGAAGCCGAGAAGCCGAGGCACGCGGCGGCGCCAGCACGGGGTCTTCTTGCACCGCGAGCTGCAGATCCGGCTGGCGCAGCGGGTGCTGGAGCTGGCCGCCCTGCCGCCCCTTGCCCTTTCTGTGCGTGTGCGTGTGCATGTGTGTGCATGTGTGTGTGTGTGTGGCACACGTGTCCGTGTTGTTTTGGGGGTTGGTGTGTTGTTTTGGGGGTTGGTACCCTTTTCAGGTTGGTTTCTGGCGATAAGGTTTTTTGGGAGTTCGTTCGATTTCTATTTCTTAACACAGGAACATGCGTTTTTGGCAGGAATGGGTACCGTTTCTTAGGTTGGCTCAACGGGAACATGTGAGTTCCTTTTGTTAGGCTTGTTTAACGGAGTGCAAAAGAACCACGACCAATTTTTTTTTGGGTGCCCCTACTTGGGTCGTTTCAAAGCAAAGAGAACATCACCGTGGTGTTGGCGGCGTTATCAAGAAACTTGCTCTCACGGAACAGCTGGTTCTCAAGGAGAACTTTTGCCGGGATCTGTTTCAGAGTTGGCTCAACGAGTTGCATGAATGTTGAGATCGCAGACAGGATGTGTTTTTGAGAAACCCACTCACGGCCACTCAAGGCCACTGACAAAAGGTTTGAGAGGCCTCAGGGGGCTCACGTGGTTGACGCTGGGTGCGCTCCAGGTCCCCCGTTCACCTTTGGGAAATCTTTGTCGCGGGTTTCTCAAGGTTTCTTTTAGGGCAATTAGCACTTTTCTTGGTGACTTTCAGGGGAGCTCGGTCACAGGTACAGACTTGGGGAGCGCCGGGGCATCAGAGATGTGATTCAGTGGTACACTGACTTCGTGCACATGCTGGAGGACTTCCGGGCAGAGTTGTGGGAAGGGGCCTTTTCCACTGACCCCAAGGAAGCTCCCCTTTTGAAGCATAATTGGAAAGTGGGAAGGAATCCATTGGTATCACAGCGGGCGATTCAACCCTGGTTGGCGAGCTGGGCGTTTTGAACAGCGCCTCAAGTTGTCAGCTGGTCCCCGAATCATCGCCCAGCGCGGTTTGTGAGTCTCGCAAAAAAAGAAGAAGATTTGTCAATCTGGGTAGCACCAAAAGTCCATTGAGCAGCGTCCACCCCCCCCCCCCCCCCCCGTCATTGGCTATTCTAGTAGGTGGTTTTAGACAAAAGAGAACCTGGCAGGACTCTCCCGTTCCGCATGCAGAAGAGCAGGACGAAGAGTTCACGAATCTGCTGACGCGGGTTTTCGAAGAGCACAACGAAGTCATCCAGGCGTGGGCTTGGCAGTTTACTGTTGGTCGGGGAGGACATGGGAGGACAGGCCACATTTCCGCAAACAAACAGGGGGACACCGCAACTTGACCATGTGCACATGGGGAAGCAAGTATTATTTTTCCTTCCTCACCTGTTCCCCCTCCGAAGAAGTGGCATGTGCTGGAGGCACAGCCATGTTGCCTTGGGAGGTGTTCCGCCTGCTGATTTGCTTCATGTAATCGGAAGCCTTGAAGACAGGACGCGAATGGCGACTTGTCACTTTGGGGGCACGAAGTCATTGGGTGAATCGGGCACAAATTCAGCCAGGGGTTACCACGGGTTCTCGGGTTATCGGGTTCAGTGGATTGCCAGTGGCTCGCCTGGGGCGGTGCCAGGGTTCCTTAAAAGTTCCCAGGCTGCCTCCAGCCTGGCTAGCCCCAAACCGCAGGCCATGGCCTTCGGGGTGCAAGATCTCATCGCAGAGCTTGAGGAGGTGAGGGGAGGCGTTTGTAGAGTTTGGGTAGATGGGTCCGGCTAAAACTAGCTTGGGTTCGACTCTTCAATCTTGGGAAGTGTCGTGATTGGTTTGACACAGCTAGATGGAAGCGCGGACCTCTCCTGTGTGCTTTTACCTTCAAGGTTTGTTGTTGGTGCTGTCCAGCAGGGCGGTTTGAATGGTTGCCCATAGGATGTCCGAAACTTTGAAGGGCAGCCGGCGACCTATGTCTTGCTGACTATCCACAAGGGAGCACCGGCCCAAACATCAATTTGCTGTTGGGATGAAACTAGAAGCCAGCCAGCCATTCCACGATGGGATCATGCAAGTGCTGGACAAATCCAAACTCTTGGCTTCATTGCTTCATTGCTTTTCGGGCAAACCCGTGGGTTTTTTTAGGCATCCAAAAGAGGCTTCCCTCCAACAGACCCAGCAAGCCTACGAGCCTTCTTCTCCAGACTTGGTGTGTTTTGTTTTCCGTTTGCACCCTTAGGCCTTAGGTTGGTGCACGCGGGCACGGACAAGACGCCACCCATTTAGGATCGGGATGCTTTTTGGTTTCGACACATCACTCGCATTCGGAGGTACTTTTTCCTCGGCGCAGGAGTACAGCTCGGTGCAAGCAGAGGTGGACGCCATCCTGCGGCGCTTCTTCACGGCGCGGATCGGCATGCGCTTCCTGCTGCAGCACCACATCGAGTCCTTCAGGAGAGAGCGCTGATGGGATGGGAAGCCCAGAAGCCTCTTCCTGGCTAAAACGGGGGGAAAACCGCTTCCAGGCTTTTAGGGGGGTTGAGAGTTGAGTTGTTTGCCTAGGAGGTTTTGATATCTTTGCTGGGTTTGGCCTGGTGACCCAATTTGGAGATGCTCCGGAACGTAGGTGTCATTTGCCAGTTCCGAGAAAAGAGCGGTGTGCTCGTTCCGCGAGGAACCGGGAGGGCCACTCCGGAATCCTCCAGTTGGCCTGTGATCCTGCAGTCATCGCGCAGAAGGCCGGATGGGCAGCTGCCAAGACGTATTCGCATGTCATAGCGTGCTTTGGGGTTTGCCAGGGTGCTTCATCCTGTGCTCCGGAGGAGGCAACGCGAGGCTTCTCACTTGAAACCTCTCCTAGAGGAGTCCAGGACATGAGTCCCTGGAACTTGAAAGTTGGGGACGACTATTTGGATCAGGGTAGGTTCCACCGGAAAGCATTCACTTGGGCCCCATGCACAGACATGGAATGCACGAACCTGTGCCCAGTGGATAAACCAAAATCAGGGACCGACTCTCTGGAGGGTTCACGTCAAAGGTCGGGCGCCTTTTCCCCACATGAGGTGGTTGCAAATTCAGCTTCCGTTCCACGCGGCCTGATTTCAGGCTGCTATGATGAAGTATGCACACAGTGGGAAAGTTTGGAGCCTGTTTGAAGTGCAAAATCACTTCATGCTTGAAGTGTCTGGTTCTGCGATGTTCAAATGTATATGCACTTCTGACTCCAGGAATGAATGCTAGGAAGCCTACAACCCAGCATCACAGCTCAAGGTCAGCCTCTTCCTCGGAGGCGTTGTTTTTCTCTGACATGGTTTTGCACTCCTTTGGTTCACATCATCTAACATTGGGATGGCTGTTCACCATCCATCGAGGGAATCTACTCCCCGACCGTAAGCTTCAAAGCCACAGGACGATTTTAAGCGCTGGAGTTTCCAATGCGATGCCGAGGAGCAGGTGCCATTGCTGTTTGAAACGGCCAACCCAATCGGCCAAACTCCACCTGCAAAAGCATCAAAGCATTCTCCAACGGCTCTTGCCAAGCCTCGACCAAACATGTCTTGCTTCCCTAGAATCAAACTGGAACCTGAAGTGTTCAACTGAAAGGTCGCAAAGGAGTGGGGCAGCACGAGAGGACCTTTGTCCCTCTACCTGCTAGATCGCCAATTTGTGGATGGGGCTTGTGACGAGCGCACATGGTAGCGGCACGGCCCCAGCTGTCGTGGTTGGTGCTTCCCTGCTGCCGCCTTTGGGTGCATGTGCGAACGTGAAACGGCATCCTGGTTCTCCGAGGTTCGACTAGGCCACCGTTTATTATTCAGACCCCATGCATCTCACACCCGCACTGCAAAGTCAACTCCTTGCGCCTGGCGAGACGTCGAACTCCAACGAGCTGCCGCGTTTTTTTTTTTTTTGCTTTTCGGTCTGGTCCTGTCCTCATGCCAGGGGTTGACGTGTTTTTGCCGGGTCCGCGTTTTCGCGCGCGAGGCCGCAAAGGACAGCACCATGCTGTGCAGGGCACACTTGGGCCAGGCGCCCCACATCACGCCTGGGCCTCGGGGCCGTGTGTCCTTCTAGCTTGCCTGCAAATCCCACCCAAGCAGGGAAGCAAATTCCAGTGTTTTGAGGAAGGAGATGCTAGAATGTGGACATCTCACAATGGTAACTTTGAACAAGGCCATTTTGTTGATTGCCAACACGAGTCTTTCCAAGTCAGGTTGCGCTCAGGCCCTGTCTGTACTTCCTGGCTCCATGGTACCAACCCGCTGCATGATGGTTGTACAACGTATGATTGTTTAGGCGATGTTTTGCGCTTTCGTTTCCTACACATTGGTAGGACACCTACCTTTTTCGTCCTTGTTGGGTATGGTTTTCCAGAAAGCCGATCCCATGCTTTCGATTGCCCCTTCTCTGGCCCCACCTCCTTGCGTTGTGATTCGAGGAACAAGGCCACACGTTTTTTGTTTTGTTTGAAGCGGTTTCGCTTCCTTGCAGAGCTTGAGGATTCACCACACGAATCCGGGAACCTTCACCTATGTGCCGATGCACCTGCACTATATGCTCACAGAGGCAGCGGCAACAGCGGAAACGGGAATGGCATGGACGCTACTTTCTCCGGCTAAGAAATGTGCCCAGACTTTGGACAACCTTCGCTGCTTAGGGAGAGGTGGATTGTGGTGCTTGAGATGCAGGGTCGGACGGCAAACACAACAACAGATCTGTCTTTGTGCGGGGACAAACACAGCTCGCCCAAGGTACGGTTTGCAGGAATTCCATCCAGCAGTCAGGTCAAGTTGGCTGTTGCGCAAAAGGGCGGCCATCGTCCCTCACGAAGGCTGGGTCTTAAAGATTGTCTTGACCCCTGGGCACAGCGCCCTTGGGTGTGGCGTGCCGTCGCCCCCCTGTCTCTTTTGTGAGGTGTTCTGGCACCCCGTGGTGTGGCACGGCCTCACACTGCTGGTCGTGCCCCTCTAAGGTGTTCGGTGTGGCACAACCTCCTGGCCTTGTCCCCCTTACCGTGGTGAGGTGTTCTGGCATGCTGCACCGCTGGCCTTGTGCCCCCCCGTGTGTGGCGCACCGCCGCCCGCGCACGGTTCCTGCCTTCGCCGAGAACTCTGCTTTGACAGGGGGGACGGTTTGGCCTGGTAGGTCTCAACTCCAACTCCAATCCAACTACAGGAGATTGTGTTGGAAAACGTCAGCTGTTCAATGGGTGAGTGTTGTGACGTGGGTATGGCGACATAAACACATCCAATCTACCAATCTACGGTTTTGGGGGTAATCACATGTGGGCGCTCACTTACAGTGCCATCTTGGGGTCCTTTGCCAAAGGTTTGCAAAAAAGGACGACCCAGACCCAACCATGTTTTTTCCTTTTTGTCTTTTTCTCCCCGCTTTTGATTGGTCGGAATGGTCATGGGTCCGGTAATTTAGGCGGTTCTAAGACTCCCCGGACGAACATCCGGTGCCATGTCCATGAGCCCACGGCTTCAGAGGCTTTTCAGAACGGCTGAGTCTTCTGCAGGCTTACTTCCGTGAGTCATGAGAAATTGGGCAACCTAGAATACGTTGGGGAATATATATATTTGTATATATATACATAATTTCATACATTTTTAAACTTTTGGGTTGTCAGGGAACCAAAAGAGAAGCCACTTTTGGGTCCTTATTTTGACACATTCTCCATGTGATTCATTTGGGTTTCCTTTGGGTTTCCTTGTCAAAATAAGAATCAGACCCTCCAAAATCAATTTTGATTTTCGTTTTGCTTGCCCTTTAAACACTCTTCTGTGAAGGGGTGCCCTCAAACCATACACACACACACACACCTGTATGGCAATGAATTTTAATGAGGAATCTCCGAAGGGTCGGTGGACATGAATCAGCGAATTCTGTCCAAAGGGCCCGAGACTCACGCGCTTGGGACTTTCAAACTGACAGGTCTTCAAGAACTCCTGCCGCGCGGTCACGGAGCGTCACGCGGACGGCTTTGACGACCCGCTGCCGCCCATCCACTGTCACATTGCCCCTCGTCGTTGAATTGCCGGCGCGATCTCGTAGCAGCGTTCTGTTTAGGGAAGAAGGGGCAATCGCTTGTTCAAGGCCCGCCTCACTTTGGATTTCCCTATTCGGCAAAGCTGTGGTCGAGGTTCCATAAATGAATCACTTTAGTACCTGAGTTTTGGCAAGTTCAGATCTGGAGCTTCAGCATGCGACTCAAGTGGCTGGCAGATCAAGTCACAAGGCACCGCCATGATGTCAGATAGTTTTCGAAAGAACACAAATCAGGAACCCTTGGCGTGTTGCCTCTCTCTTTTTACAGCGATATATTTATATACATAATTTGTTCACACCGGTTCATGTTTTGTTTGTTGCTTTGGTGTTGCTGATGGGCATATGCACTTCACATGAACTGGACAATGTAAGAAGTGTTATCTTTTTGTTTCTCTTGCTCATTAAAACAACTGCATCGTTTAACCTAGCCTTTGTTGTCCTCTCTCCCTCCCTCCGCTCCCGATCCTCCCCATCCCCCCAAGCCTCTCTCTCCTCAATCTCCCTCTCTCTGTCTCTCTCTCTCTCTCTCTCTCTCTCTATCTCTCTCTCTCTCTCTCTCTCTCTCTGTTTCTCTGTCTCTTTCTGTCTGTCCACACCCCTCTACAGAAAAAGGGTACCCTCGTTCTAACCTCTCTACTGGAGGACCTAGTCTCTCTCTTTCTCTCTGTCTCTCTCTCTCTCTCTCTCTCTCTCTCTCTCTTTCTCGCTCTTTCTCTCTGTCTCTCTCTCTCTCTGTCTTTCTGTGTCTCTCTTTCTCTGTCTCTCTCTCTCTCTCTCTTTCTCGGTCTCTCCCTCTCTCTCTCTCTCTCTCTCTTTCTCGCTCTTTCTCTCTGTCTCTCTTTTTCTCTCTCCCTATCTCTCTCTCTCTCTCTCTGTGTCTCTCTGTCTCTCTCTCTCTCTCTGTCTGTCTCTTTCTCTGTCTCTTTCTCCGACTCTGGTTCTGTCTCTGTCTCTCTCGCTTTCCCTCTTTCTCGCTCTCTGTGTCTCTTTCTCTCTCTCTCTCTCTCTCTGCATTGCAGCGTCACGTCCCCCCTGAGTTGCCTCGATGTCCGGGCACTGCCCCTTCATGACCCTGAACTGTCATCTCACAACTGGCTTTCCCCTTGATTTCCCCTGCATGTCCTTTTCACGTTTCTCATGATGTCCCGGTCATGTCCCTTCCATTCCTTTCAACTCCCCCTTCATGTCCCTGACATTTTCTCGGTATGTCCGCTTCATTTTCCATGTATGTCCCGTTCTTGCGTTGCGAGTCATTTCCCTACATCTCCCGTCGTGCCGATTGGTTTCCTTGTGCTTTGTTTCCCTTTCATTCCCCCCTGCACTCCCCTTGTTTTCATGTCTGTCCCTGTCATGTCCCTTTCAGTTCCCCTTTGTTTCCCTTTCATTTCCCGTTGCTTTCCTGTCATGTCGACTTCTTATTTCCTTCCCTCATTTCCTTGCACTTCCTTGCATTTCCCCTTTGCTCCCCAGTATTTCCCGCAAAAAAGCACGGTTTTCCAGCGTTTTAGCAAAGAGGACGTCCAAAAACACAGAGTTTTCCCAGATTTCCTGCAAAAGGAGGCAGGAAGCCCAAGCCAGCAAAAGAGCCGGCAGGGGGAATCGAGCCTGGGACCCCTGTTTTGCGACAGTTTAGTGGAACGTCATGAAATTGCCGCGCGGTACGTGGGGGGGGGCCCCCCCTACGTATCAGATGTCCAGTAAGGGGGGTATCCTCTGTCCTCTAGTAAGTATCCGACACGCCGAACAATGTCGGCGGACATCTTCTCCGAGATACTCTTTACAAGTCGAGCCGGCGGAGCCAGCGGGCGGAAGCTTCGCGCGAACACTTATAGTTATGTTTCTCTCTGTTTCTCTTCGTCTTTGTCTTTGCCTTTGCCTTTGTCTTTGTTTTGTCATTGTCTTTGTCTTTGTCTTTGTCTCTCTCTCTCTCTCTTTTTCACTCTCTGTCTTTCTTTTTCACTTCTGTTTCTTTTTCACTCTCTTTCTCTTTTTCATCATTCTCTGTCTCTTTTTTTCACGCTCTGTCTCTTTTTCACCCTCTGTCTTTTGTTCACTTCTGTCTCTTTTTTTTCTCTCTCTCTCTCTCTCTCTTTCTCTTTCTTCTCTCGTTCTCTTTTTCTTTTTCTATCCTTTTCGTTCTCTTTGTCATATTTCCTTTTCTCTTCTTTCTATATTCTATCTTTTCCTCTAGTTGATCTATTCGTCTATCTAATCAATGTACCTACTTTATGTATCCATCTATCTATTTATCTATTAGTCTATCCACTTACCTACCCCTCTATCTGTCTCTCACTTTATCTATCTATCTGTTTATTCAGTTTATTTGTCTGCCTATCTATCTCTTCATCTATCTACAATTTTTTCAAAGAAACATGTGTTCTAATTCTATTCTACTCTAGTCTATTCCAGTTTAGTCCACTCTATTCTATCTACCTAGCTACCTACCTATCCTAGTTTATCATATCCTATCCTATCCTAAGCTTATCCCATCTGGTCCTGCTCGATCGTATCCTATCCTATCCGATCTAATCCCTATGATCTATTTAATCAAGCTGTCTCTCTATGCTGTTTTTCGATTTTTTCACCGATCTTTTTCTCTTTATCTCTCCCTCTATGTGTCCTATCTATCTATCTATCTATCTATCTATTTGTCTGCCTATCTATCTATCCGTCTCTACCTCTCTATCTGTTTAATCTATTTGTTCAATCTATCTCATGATCTATTCATCTACCGATCTCTCTCTCTCTCTCTATGAATCAAAGAACCTATCTATCTATTTCTTTTGTTACTTGTCTTTCTTTGTTGCTTTCTTTCTTTCCTTCTTTCTGTCTTCCTCTCTTTCTTTTTTTCTTCCTTCATGTATTTATTGATATTATCGATCTCATCCATTTTATCTAAGTATCGATTATCTTGCTGGCCCAGTCGCAAAACCTGCACCTAACCTTGCGAGAGTGTTGCGCCTGCCACGAAATTCGTGAGTGACCTTACGAAAGTGCTGCGCTTGCCACGAGATCCGTACCTGACCCTGCGAAAGTGCTGCGCCTGCCACGAGATCCGTACCTGAGCATGCGTTGGGACTGCCACGCAACCTAGTGTTGCAAAAAGTGCGGGACGAATGCGCTCTTACCTAGCGGCGTGATCAGGCTAACTTTCGATCATCCCAAAGCTGAAGCCCGCAAAAGGCTGCGTTTTTTGATATGTCTATTTCTCTGTCGCGCGGCGCGCATTGTTGTCCACGTTTTTTTTCTTCTCTTGTCATCTGTCTCAGAAAGCTAGCTTTCAGGTAGTTGCAGTAGCAGGGAAGCTCCTTCTAAGCTTCCTTTGATTGCTAGAATCTTTTTGAGTTAATCCAGCTGATGGGTATTCAACTTGATGCATAACACAATCTATCAGACCTTCGTTTAAGTCAACAGCTAACCAGTGTTCTGCTACTAGCTTATGCGCCTGAGAACTATCAATAAATTGTTCTGTGTTTCTTTGTAATTCGTGATTGCAGTCCCTGACTTGTAGCTCTACGCTAGACAAACAGTCGTTGCCAAAAGTACATCTGTTAGATTTAAGGTACAACATAATCAAATGTTGTATCTTCACTTCCAAAAATACATTTGATATGTTTTTTGCCTCTGCCGTGACAGTTCATTGTAATTCTTTCAGACTCTTTGTTGTGAGACATGGTACAGCTGTTCATAGTGGGCTTTATGAATCTGCTGTAGTAATATTTGTTAACACGGTATACATTGTTTATTGAACTCGCATTCAATGCAAGCAGATGCTTATTGAACAAAACAGGATACGTATCAAGCATCTAAGGCAACTAATGCAGATCACGGAGATTCATTTGCGCATTTGGGAGTGATTGGTTTGTTGATTAGAATTCCAGATGAGGGTGATAAATGCACACCGTAAATCTTTGAGGTATTTCCAGTGCAAGGGCGACATGACATACGCATAAACTTGATTGTACTGCGTGAGTTTGTAATTGCTTAACGAGCCGTCTGCCAATTTCTCATTGTTTTGCACCACGTATTTCAGCTAGCGAAGGAGTTAGCTGCTCCTTTAGATAATAACAATAATGCTCATTTCTGGATCCTGTTGCGCATCCAGTCTGTGATGAACAGTTGGTAGAAAGTGGGCGCGGTGTTGGGGTTTAGCCTATATTGAAAGCACATTACGGATTCAACTATTTTGTGTGTCAATATGTTTTGTGTGAAATCTATTAGCTGGTGCAGTTATGTGAACAAGGGTAACACGTAATGTTGGTCATCTAGAACATTAGCAAGTTTCGGTTGCCTCGTGTCAATAGAGAAGTCCTCACTTTTTGCGTATGCACATGGGCTATACACATAAATGCACGCTCATAAAGTTTGAGTTTGAGTTGGACGTTAGGGGGTCAACTGAGGAGTTTGTAGCCACGGCATGCGCAATTCGTGTAATTGACTCTTTCTGTTGGGTTCGCCAGCCAAGGTTCATGGGTACGAGGATGTTGCGCTGCCCGGCCTGAATTGACACCTCGGTCCGTCGGTTGTTGGGTTGTTGCATTTGGCATACCATGCCGAGGCGCACTTCCCCCCTCATGTGGCTAAGTAAGGGGGAATGAGTAAGGGGGAATGACTAAACCAACAAAATGGCGAATTGTGCCATCCTCATTCGCTCAACAGTATGTGCCAAGCATTTGGTTGGTGTTTTCAAGGCTGGATTGATACGCAGGATCCGGATCAGCGACGAGGGAGGGGGCATTTCCAGAAACGACCTGGCGAAGATTTGGAAGTTCATGTACACAACTTCCAGAGCCTTGGATCAAAGTCGATGCCTGTCCTTTATTCCTTGTTCCTTTATCGCTTTTTGGTTGGATCTTTGGACTTTAGCTTTTTGGTTACAGAGGGGTCAACAGCAACCAAGTTTCCTTCATGAGAGATGCTGTGACTGGAGGCTCATGCATGTCTTCAAGTACGAAGCAGATTCCAATAAGTGTCCTGCGTTCGCGTTCTCGAGCATCCTATCTGAAATGGTACCTGTTAAGAAAGGCCCAACAAATCGAAGTCCTGTTTGGCATCATGTTCAAGCCAAGGTCCTCAGCAACCACAAAGGATGCTACGGGAGTCCAACGACTTGGACTTGTTTTGGGGTTAGGACCTTGGCCCATTTTCGGCACCGGCTAAGAAAAGTCGCCATGGGACCGAAGGCGCGAGTCGGAGTCGATGGGTGGTATCCGACAAATATCCACGTTGCCACGTCCGGCCCAGGATGGCTACGCTGATACGTGAGGGTGGATAGTATATGAGAGATGGGCGTTGAGTCATAGCTCCCTTCACATCATTGACCTTGGAAGATTCGTCGGCCTTTCGCAAAGCTATGTTGAGTGTGCCCTCATTTCACTACACGAATCGGTTCCTTTCAATCTTGAACAGGTGGGTCTGATTTTTGAACGGCTGGCTCCTCTGCTCTCGCAGCGAACTAGATGAGGGAGATGGTCATTGCAGAATGGTACCTCAAGCCGTGCGAAGACGAGACCGAACCTCGTTGCCCTTCGACTTGCATCAACGAAAAGTCCCCTTCCCCCCAGCTGGGATTGGGCTGATTGGACTGGGGTCATGAGGGCTCAAGAATGGTCAGCATCTGGGGGTCCCAACATCGGCATGCAAAATGCCTCCAACTGGCGGAGGCTACAGTGACGTGCCTTAAAATCACATCCAAAGAAGGGACAAAGGTACATCTATTGTTAGGAATCACCATTGAGGTCTGAGGATGTCAAGCTTGAATGGACCCAGAAATGGGAACCGAGACTAGTGGTTCGTGCTGCGTTTTTTCCTGAATGACCTGACGTACTGTTAAACATATAGATAAACTGATCTCCTCTGTGGTGAACAGATGAATTGATCCCCTTTGTGGATCGAGCAATGGTCATGTCTGGGCATGTGTCAAACAATGAAGCCCTGCAAATCTCCCTTGGAGCGTCTCGCGCAGGACACGTAGGAGACCCTCCCCAAACACAACTGCTGGTTCTTCCTGGCGCTTTGAGGCCATCCCGAAAAGGAAGCCTCGGATCCGGCGAGTTGGAAACCGTTTGGTAGGGACTTCCAGACCACTCCGGGTGACTCCGCCTGCAACCCGCTGCAGCGCTGGGGGCCTCAGCACGGACCCAAATTTCGGGGTTTGGTTTGAAGGGAAACAAGCGAGTCCGCCGTTTTCGGGGTACTCCTTGGGGGATTCCCTAGTCTTGGCATGCAAACGTGGGGTCTGGTTTGGACAGACTTTGGAAGGAAGCTGAGGGGAGTCACCTTTGGCACAGCTTCTAAGTGGAGGGGTAGCTCCTGGAAGATGGGAGGCCGTTTTCAAGGCCGCTGTTTGAATAGCGGGACCACCGACCCAGGGAGCGCACAGAATCCTGTCTTTTCTGTCGAATTTGGGGGCAATGCTTTGGACAGAAGGGCCTTTGCTGCTAAGTGAGAGGGTGCTCAGCGCGGGTGGGAACCTGTTCACCAGAACCTGGCCGGGTTTGTCTAAGGCTGGAATCCCAGGATATGGCAGTGTTAAAAAAAAAGAGGGGGGGGCCCCCAGTTTCTCTTTGGCTTTCCTTTAAAGGCCCAAAAAGGGCTCCTGGCACCCCGCAGGCCCAAAGCAGGGCGGCGTGCTGGCAGGGTGCGCCCTGGGGGGAGGGCTGGGGTGGACAGGTCCACCCCGGCAGGTTCCGGAGCCAACAAGCCGATGCAGGTGCAACCCCCAACAAAACCTTGCTGGATAAGAAGGAATGGCTCGGCGCATTGTGAGCCACAACATACAGACTAAAAGCCATGAAACGGGTGTATCCTGAAGGGGACCTTTGGTTGGTTTCCTTTGGTTTCCTTTGGTTTCCTTTGGTTTCCTTTGGTTTCCTTTGGTTTCCTTTGGTTTCCTTTGGTTTATTGTGGTTTCCTTTGGTTTATTTTCGTTTGCTGAAATGCTTCCTTTGGTTTGCCCATGAATCACCAGCAAAGGAGGCGCACGGCATACCCCATACAACGCGGACTCGGCTTGTTCAATTGTGAGGGAGCCCCAGAAATCTTGAGGGGATCTCCAGGGTTGACGACTGAAAGCTAGCAAGGCTTCTCGTTTGTCAAAACTGGGGGCCCCAGTTGGGGTATGAGTTTTAGTTGGGGACCTTTTGGCAGACATCAGTTCCTGGTGATTTTTCGTCCACCATTTGAAAGGGTGCTTCCCATCAAATGTCGCAGCTCGGGAGAGCCCAGCTTGAGAGCTGTCGGCAAGGTTCGGCGTGGGCCTCACACTGAGCCGCCTCTACGCGCAGTACTTCGGGGGCGATCTCCGGATCCTGTCGCTGGACGGCTTCGGCACGGACGTGTGCGCGCAGGGACTGGGACTGGGTTCGGGTGAGGTGGTTTCTTCCTTTGGGAGGACCCAGAGAGGGCGACCATTCGAAGAAAGGCATGCAAGGAACACCCAAAGGAGCTGACCGCATGGAATCGAAGGGGCCCCCAAGCCACGCCTGCTAGGAAGCCATGCACGATGTTTCTTGCTAAAGTGGCAATTCGTCGCCTTTTATATCTGTATTTTTGTTGTCGCCTGCAAGCGGATCTGTGTGACTGAGTTGGCATGCTGAGGGTTTTCTGTCCACTTCCCCTTTTTTTGAAACCGACTAACAAACCCATCGCAACTTGTGCCGCTCGCGAGCGCGAGCGCGCGAGCGCGAATGGCAGGTTCTTGCACCTGAATCGCCTGGGCACTGCGTGCGAGGACTTGCCAAAGGCCGGGAATTTGAAGCCTGAGGTTGACCCCCTGAGGGTTGACCATCTCTTGGGGGAGACCCCACGAAGGAGGGGCTGGGGGGGTGCAAAGCCCAAAAGAACCAAACCGTGAGGGGCTCCCCCCTCACTTTCTGGCCCTTGCCAGCCTTTGACACAGGGCTTGCTCAAAAGGTAAACTGGACCCTCGCGCGGAGCCTTGATTGAGTCATGAGGACGTCCTCTACAGCCCCTCCATGCGCGATTCCTCCGCCCTGGAGATCCCAACCCAGGCGTGGGGAAGAAGCACATAATCTGAATGCAGCAGGTGCTAGCCCTGGGTCGATGGGCATACTTTGCGTGCTCAAACCTTGTTGTCTGAGGTGCTTCGGATTTGTCTGGTATTGGTAGTTTGATTTGTGTCATTTGTTTCGTCTGTCGGCGCCTTCGGGAATGCTTCTGGAGAGGCCTCCACCCCCACCCCCATTGAGGCGACTGGACCCGTGTTCTGTATGTAAAAGCAGCACTGACATGATCCTTCTTTTTCCAAATCCGACATGACACTGTTGCCAAACTGTCACCAAATTGGCGATTCCTCTTTCTTGCCGGCAACTCTCGGAGTGGAAAGGCAGTGCTTGCTGCCTTTTGATTTCTGGCAGTTAGGCGTTTGCCGCCCAAGCGCACAAACACGAGGGGTGAACCCCTCGAACCGGAAATCAACCACCCCCGGTGCAAGACAGCCTGGAAGACTAAGTACGGAGCATAGGGAAAGTTCCATCCTGGAAGATCTGGGCAGCTCAGCTTGGCACATGGCTGTGGTTGTCCAAACCGTTTTGGGATCCCATTTTGGTAGGTGAATTCACCACCCATTTTAGTCTTTGGTGGTTGGTTGATGTTCACTGGGGGCTGACCGATTTGGATTTTGGCCCGCGGCCATCAACGCGAGATCTGGAGGAGCAGCTCCTAATCTCCGCCGAAGAGGAGGCGTTCCTGCGGCACGAGCCGCGGCCTCGGAGCCCGGAGGCCATGAGGCATGGGAATGCAAGGGAGGAACCGAAGACAAGATAAGTGGGCTTAAAATCGTTTAGTTGTGGCAGGGAAGAAGGTGTGTCATTGTTTAGCCCCTTGTCCTGGTTTGACATTGTATGGCGAGTTGGAAGGAAAAGCCGTTTGCAGCATGGGGCAGTCAAACAAACTGGCAACAGTATTTTTGGCTGCCCAGGTGCCAAAGTTGAAGCGGCACATTTCCCAGCACAGCATTGCCCGACCGTGCAGGTGTGTTTATGTGCTTTCTTTTTTGGTTTTGCGTGTGTGTGTGTGTGTGTGTGTGTGTGTGTTTCTGTTTTGTTTTAGGGATGCTGGAGTCTTGAAAACAACTAAGAGCGAACCTGCCGTAAACGGAGGAGGAGCTACACTCCCGCCCTTACCCTCCTTCGCTTCATTGGCAACAAATTGAACACGCTCTGTCAGATACCCCGATTTTATGTGAGAGACGGAGTGTTCCCATTTTGGCTGATGTACATTGGGAAAACCCAAAGGACGCCGAAGCCAACTTTGGGGTATCCCACTGTGGACAAAATCCACGTCGCACGAAAGGAAACCATGGGAATGAAACCGAAACCAGGGGAATGAAACTGTTGGGTTGAAACCGTGTGAATGAAAGTGTTGGGAATGAAACCAAACATTCTAAAACAGCATGGTTGAAGCCATTTCCCTAAAATACCATGGGATTCCCCCAACGGTGTCTTGGTGTCTTAGGTTTGACTCGAATCAGAAGCCGTTGGAACTTCCGGAGGGGTGCCTTGCAGAGGCTCCAGGCGCTGCGCCGCCGAGAGGGTGAACACAAAAAAAGCGGCTGCCCGAAACCGGTTTCGCCGCCGTTTCGGGTTTTGGCGTTGGCCGATGTTGGGCTTGGCTCCCGACTTGGACTTTCCAAACACTGCGAGCTTTCATGGAACCGCTTCCTTCCGCCCAAATCCGCCCAAATCAGCCCAAATCCGCCCAAAACGCCGTCCCTCCCCCCCCAAAACAAGAGAACAAGAACAAAAACATGCTCGAAGAAGACATGCTTCTGAAACGGAAGACACCTCCTTCTTACCCACTTCGACAGGGGGGGGGATTTTGAGAGTTCTTCCCTGACACTGATTCGGTGTGTTCTGACCCTCGATTGCCCTTTTAGGCTCTGTTTTGGTCTGCATCAGAAGCCCCTTGCCTTTGCCTGAAACAACGTCTTTCTTTTGGCTCTCGCTCTCGAGCCACTTCCATGGTTGGGCCACTGGCAGTCCATTTCCGCCTTTGTTTCTTTGAGGTTCGCAGAGGTTGCCTCCCCAAGGGTGGTTCGACCTCCAATGACAATGGATGATCTACTTTTCATGCGGGACGGTT